AGGCAAACTTAGCTGCTATGTGGTCAGATACATATCATCAACCCACTGCGCAGTCTCGGGCAAGCCCCTTCACTGATCTGTGTCTCAACTTTCTCATACATCGAACCATGGGAGGCAAGGACGTCAGCTTTGCCTTCTCAAGACAGGTGAGGTGAGAATGGGGAGGATTAATGGGCTTACAAGGACCCTGGAGAGGCCTGCACATCATAAAGACCCAGTAGTCAGCCCACATTCACACCCCTGGTAGAACCTGCCTCAAACTGTAGCTAGTAATGCCTATACACAGGCCGTCAGGCAGGCAGGTAAGAAGGAAGGAAGAAAGTCAGGAAGGAAGAAGGCAGGCAGGCTGGCCAGATTACCTATGAAAATTGAGTAGTTTTATTTTTCAAACTCACCTTCATAGATCTTACTTCAAGCTTGGGATTGTGTTTTTTATAAAGCAACATCTTTGAAGAGACTCTCTGGCTAGTGAAGTTCCAGATTCTACTCTTGTGGTTGGCTTTTGAGCAGCATCCCAAAGCCTAGCTCCCACCAATCTCATTTCAAAGGCTGAATCTAAAATATGAATTAAGTAGAGCATAGGAGATTGGCCTAACTTTGAGCCCTATCTTATAACACAACCCTGGCTCCAGCTAGGCTGTCGAGATGGTCACCAGTGAGTCTCGGACATTATGAGGATGAGGTGGACAGCGCTTAGCTTCTTGCAACAAACACTGATCTGCTTTCAGTACCTGGCCATTCATCTTGATTTCTGAGAGCAATGTGTTCAAATAGTTCTCTCTTTTTTTTTTCCTTCAACAAAGTCAGCTCCTGGCCACAGGGGTCGCTATTGAGTTGTTTTCCTCCAGGATACTCTAATTTAAGAGCTAACTAACTCTATGACATTAGCTGTGAAAAGATATAGTTACCCATGTGATTCACCTTAAAGTCAAAGCATAGTACTTCCTTACACACACACACACACACACACACACACACACACACACACACACACACACACACACCTCTTTAGGGCAATTCTTAAAGAAATCAATGATTCTTTTCTTCTCATAGAAAATTCGCACCAAGTTTTCTCCCCCCAAGCCAGCATATACTATGAAGCAAAAGCCGGTACACGGAATGCATCTGCTAAGAGCTGTCAGCACGGGGCTGACTGCTCAGGAGCCTTTCTCAGCCTTCTGGTAACTGGCATGTCCTGGTCATGTTTCTTGCTGCTGCTGCTGCTTCTGTGTTAATGTGTTTGCTTTCCATTTGGCAGAGAGACAAGCGAGACACCTCCAACTTCGACAAAGAGTTCACCAGGCAGCCTGTGGAACTGACTCCCACTGACAAACTCTTCATCATGAACTTGGACCAAAATGAATTTGCTGGCTTCTCATATACTAACCCAGAGTTTGTCATTAATGTGTAGGTGAATGCAGATTCCATTGCTGAGCCTGGGTGTAAGACTTCAGGCTGAGTGTCTGTTACCAATTCCAGTCTTCCAGGATCATGGTGCCTCTGCTGGCATCCATCATGTGGAGAGCTTGTCTTAGAGGGCTTTTCTTTGTATGTATAGCTTGCTAGTTTGTTTTCTACATTTGAAACTGTTTAGTTTAGAATAAGCGCATTACCCACTGATAGAGGTACAATTTTCCAGACTTCCAGAAACTCATCCACTGAACCAACAGTGTCAAAACTTAACTGTGTCCAACACCAAAACGCTTCGGTATTTGTAATTTTTCAAGTCAGATGCTGATGTTCCTGGTCAAAGTTTTTACAGTTACTCTCTATTATCTCCTTTGAATGCTACCTAAGCATGACCGGTATTTTTAAAAGTTGTGAGTAAGCTTTGCAGTTACTGTGAACTCTTGTCTCTTGGAGGAAACTTTTTGTTTAAGAATTGGTATGATTAAACTGAATTCATACATGCAAACCCTCTCGTGTGCATGTCTGTTTTTAAACACACTCCATCACAGATGGGAGGAACACAAGCAGACACTGCCAACTGACAAGTTTCTTTCACTAGCACTGATTTTATTTGCATTGAAATCACTATACATATTTAAAATGGAACATATCCTATGAATTTTGTGGACTTTCAAATGGGGGGCTAAATAGCAGAAGACTGGCAGAGATTGGGCTTATCTTTCCATGTGGAAATAGTTCAGCAGGACTAAGAAATGTCTGCATTCTTGGGCTGGGTGTGGCTCAGAAGGTAGAATGCTCACTAAGTTCGCATGAGACCCTGGATTCGAGTCCTAGAACTTTCTAATCTAGGAATGGTGCTACTTGCCTGCAATCCCAGTATACTTTTCAGGTGGAGGCAGAGGAGCATCAGGAGCTCAAGGCCATCCTCTCCTGGGCTACATGGCAAGTCTGAGGTCAACTTGGACTCCTTGGAACCTTATCTCTAAGTGTGGGAAGGGATGGTGAGATGGGTCAACAGGTAAAACTACCTGCTGCTGAGCCAAGGACTCAAGCGTGACTCTCACAACCCACACGGCAGATGGATAAAATGAAACTTTCACAATGTGTCCTCGGACCTCCACATGCATGCCACGTCATGCAAACACACACACACACACACACACACACACACACACACACACACACACAAATAAAATGTAATAAATTTGAAGTGTATACATCCTTTGAAAGCCATATGTTCCCCTTTATCACAGTACCTGCCACCCTCTGTTGTCCTATGCCTTCCATCTACCTCCCTGATTGCTACAGCCACTTGGGGCTTTTCCATTTGTGAGCCCCGAGCTTGATGATCTTACTGTCCTCCTGCACCCATCGTCTGAGTGTCTGACCCTTGTTCCAGTCACCGTGTTTCATGCTTATTATTAAATAGGAAATACAGTGGTCTGGAGAAATGGCCTAGCAGTTATAAGTGCTTGCTGTTCTTCCAGAGGGACAGAGTTGTTCTCAGCACCCACACTGGGCAACTCACAACGCTATCCCAACATCCTCAGACACCCAGGTGCGTGCACACACACACACACACACACACACACACACACACACACACACACCACACACACACCACAACACACCACATTAAAAATAATCTTTAAAACTAAATTCAGAATATTTAATAAAAACTTGATGATAAAAGTCAGCAAGGAGGCTAGTGTCAGTACAGACTGAACACTTGTGGTCCTCGAGGATGTTATTGGAATTCCTGGGTTTTGTTTATGTTTTTGTTTGTTTGTTTGTTTCTGTTTAACCCTAATTTAATTCAGCACTCGCAGAGGAATAAAAATGTACACACTTTTCCTAATAGCCATACTTGCTCAGGAAGGCCCAGGGAAACATGGGGGAATTTCTTCTGAACACTGCTGGTGAGATAAGGAGTGGAACTCCCAGCGCAGAGTGGCACAGCACTGAATCACCGGTGTCAGCCTGCCACATTCATCTCTCAGTGGAGTCATGCTTCTGGTTTCTTTTGGAAATGTGCAGTAATGCAGTCCGTAGCACATGCCTTTGTATCTGCTAGGGCTGGTGGGGAGCAGAATAGAGCACACCTGTCATACACCACGTCCATCGTGATGCTACGCTTTATTCATCCCCTCTCTTGGAGGAGCCCCAGAAAATGGAGTAAATGGGCAAAGACAGTGAATCCATGGATCTACTAGTGAGCTCTTCTTTGGAGAAGTTTAGAAACTCTGCCAGTGAAAATTGGCTGAAGCCAACTTCAAACTTGAGAAACTGTGGTTCTACGCAGCATATATGAAAACAAAAATATATGGATTTCTATAGATGTTTGGCAATGTGGCCCATTTCAGATTGTATTAGTGAGGCAGTCCCTGTCAGCTTCTCCTACTTCTTCTCTATGCTACAGATTGACCTGTCTTTCATTTAGTGAGCACTAGGTACCAGTGCTTGGTCAGGCACAGTCCTGGGTGTGGGGATCAGAGAGCCCAGCAGTATAGTCTAGGACTCTCCACTCACAGGGGCATGATGGCTGCAGAAGACACAGCTTCTCACTTTACTAGGATTGGACCTAAGTTGTTAGCTATTAGTTAGCTGTTGCCATGTTACAAACGACCTATAAACTTTAACACAAGGAATATTCCCTCTCAATATTTGTGGATTTTTAATAGGGGTGTGGCTTAGCTAGTTGACAGTGTCATTAGGTTTTAGTCAAGCTATTGGCCAAGGTTGTAGTATCTTGTGACATTCAACAGAGAGACCAAAGTTCACTTCCTGGCCTCATATGCTTGTCAACAGCATCAGTTCCTCATCAGTTCCCCATAGAGCCATGTCTGGACAGAGAAGCTGACTTCTGGGGTCAAGGATCAAATGGTAGTGCCCAGCCTGGAGAGCACAGTCTTTGCATCCTTACATCCAAAGTGACATCTCATGTTGTTGTTTTCTAGTCTTTAGAAGTCATCCAATAAGCTCAGTCTAGACTCAAGGGAGAGAAATGAAGCCAGGTAAGACCACCAGGAGGTGGAGTGTTTGAGGACCATCTTAGAGGCTGCCTGCAGCACAGACTGTGAACAACATCACTGCAGCTAGAAGCAAAGAGCTACCCAAGCACATAAACTCAGAATGGACCCTCAGAATAAAACTCGCTGCTTCAGGAACAAATGGAATGTACACAAACCACAAGGGTAGGTTCTTCACATATGGGAATTCAGGGTTTCCCTCAAGATATTTGGGACCAGAGGTACATGGGAGGCAAGTCAACCCAGGGAAGCAATTACAGGAACGTCTACCCAGCATTGCATTGGTCCACAGAGTAGTCAGTTGTTTCATAGTAAGCTCAGAGGTTAAGAAAAGGGTCTGAATCTCACCCTCTGAGAAATTCTATCCCTTCATCTTCAGGAATGCAAACCCCACTAAGATGAGTTGACAGGAAATCACACACAATATAATTCTATATCAGTTATCCAGTACCTCAAAACTCACTGGATTTTCTTGAAGATTTATTTTACATGGTGTAAGTGTTTTATCTGCATGTATATATGTATACCACATGCATGCCTGATGCCCTTGGTGGTCAAGAGAGGGCATTGGGTCCCCTGAAAATGGAGTTACAGATGGTTGCGAGCTGGGTGAAGCAGGTCCTTTGCAAAAGCAATAAGTGCTCTAAACCACTGAGCCATAGCTCCAGACCAAAATTCAGCTGATTTTTTAAAGCAACTGTTTGGTTAGTTGACAATGGAGGTTATTATGGTCTGACAACTTCAGGTTGGTCTCAGACTGACTTGTCTGTGTATGTCAGGCATCTGGGAAGTCAGCTGGCAATGGCTTAAGATGGCCTTATCCACACCACACTGGATTGACAGCCTAGGGGAAGCTCTGTGGGCTGTCTGTTTTTGTTTCACGTTCTTGATCTCTGATATTCCAGAGACTGGAGTAAACTGCTTAATAAAGAGCAGGCAAGAGCCAGAGGCCCAATTCACAAGTGTTCTTCAAGTCCCTGCTTTCTTCCCATATGCCAGTTCAAGCAGAGGAGAAACAGGCGTCACCTTAAGGCAGGAGAATTTGCAAAAGCAAATGAACACAAGGATGGGGAATATTTATGGCCCAATTTTGAATCTACCACATTGCCCCTCGGTGGAATCATTTACGAACATGGAGAACATCAAAGAAACAGAACAAGCAGGAAAGAAATTTCCAGGGATATCCTGGGCTTCCCCACGGTCAGACTCTAGTCTCCACAGACAAACAGAGCCAGAGTAGGCTTGTTAGCTGGATAACTAGAGCCTGTTTGAAAGTTGCTGGTACCAGCTCTTCAGTGCAACAGTGGCAAACTCTCAGGTCCTCAGATTCACCTCTGATATCATTTTCTTTCTCCAACATCAGATTCAGGCTGAGATGCTGTCAAAACGAGGAAGGAAGCAAAGCAAAAGAGATGAGAACCAACCTGAGAAACAATCTGGTGCCACCTACCAGTATCTGCCTTTGAACCTCTCAAAGCTAGGTATCTCAGATCCTGTGTCCTTGTGGGGTTTGATGGTAGAATGCCACAGCCCATATGAGATTCTGCTGGGGATCCCCCCTCCCCCCGGGAATTGATGCTGGCTTGAAAAGTTAATCCTCATTTCCAAAGCCCACAGGTTTGAGAAGTCTTGTCCAGGGAGTGAAACATACTCCACAGACTATAGAGTTTTGGACCATGAATGCTGGCTTTGCTGACATTTGGCCTGTGTCTTAGTTACTGTTGTTCTATTGCTGTGAAGAGACACCATGAGCAAGGCAACTTCTTATAAAAGAAAGCATTTAATTGGGAACTTGCTTACAGTTTTAGAGCTTAGTTCATGATCATCATGGCGGAAAGCAGACAGGCATGGTGCTGAAGCAGTAGCTGAGAGCTTTACATCCTAACCCACAGGCAGAGAGCAAGAGATTTGGTGTGGGCTTTTGTTAAGTTTCAAGCCTATCCCAAGTGACACACCTCCTCCAACAAAGCCACAACTCCTAATCTTTCCCAAACAGTTCCACTAACTGGGACCAAACATCTAAACATGTGGGCCACGGAGGGGGGGGGAGGGGATTCTTCTACCGACGAGACCATGTGTCAGGGTAAAATTCAAACGACACTTGAACAAGAGATGCAAAGACAGTCAGTCCTCTTTCAACCAGTGACTTCTACTTACACAGACCAGGAGGGAAATAAACACTTACAATAAACGTGTTCTGAATAAAAATCTGGCTTTTCATTTCTATATGGGATCACAACCCTAGGGCCAGTTAGAATGTAGAGAGAACGCCTAGAAATCCGTGGCTGTTAACAAACCCCTAACTTACAACCACACACACACTTACTGTCTCGGCTTCAGTGGCTCCCGTGTCTGCACAGAGCTTAGCCTGGAGCTCTGCTTCAGGAGGAAGAAAGCAAATCACACTTTGAGGCTTTAAAGATTTGAGCCCTCTCTCATTTACTCTCTCTGCTTTGTGTTTGCTGCTAAGACGTGAGCTCTCGCCTGCTGCTCTAGCCCCCACGCCTGCTGATTCCACTCCGCCATGATGGACTCTAACCCTCTGGAACCATAATTCCAAATTAAGCCTTCCTTCTCTAAGTCGCTTTGGTCACAGTGTTTTATCACAGCAGCAGACAAGTCACTAGTACAACCTCCACCCTCCAAAAAGCCCACACAGCATCGACTTCCTTAGTTACATAACAGAAACCCAAAGGGAACTTGAGTTAAGGATGTCCTGATGGTTCTGACTCCAACTTTAACCTCAGGAGATTCTCCTAGAGAGTGACACAGCCCAGCAAAGGAGGAAGGGTGAACAAAGAGATGTTTGAAAAAGTATGTTCAGGAATAATAGGTTCCCAGTTAAATGACAAGCAGGAAGGAAACACCTCTAGATCTCATATGTTTTCTCACAGCTTGGACATGGGTGCAAAGGTGCTGCTGCCTCTTGCCAATTGACTACAAGGGCTAAGATTCTGTCTGGAAGACCACAGCCCCAGCAAGAAGTCAGTAGACATGGAAAGTATGTCCCTTTTAGTCGGTCACAATTCCCTCTTCTAGACCAGCAGCTGTGAGGGTGAGCAAAACATGGGACGTCTCCTTGTGCAAGCTGATGTGCCGGATGGAATCCACATTTAACATAGTGAAGAGTGTGGTCGTGGGCTGCAGTCCACCGTGTAAGGTACTGAGACAGCTAGAAATGTTGGGTGTTTGTACTTTTAACACAAATGGAAGGAATGCCATTCTATTTATTTATTTGTTTGTTTATTTGTTTGTTTGTTTGTTTATACTATGTGTCTTTTCCACCATGTACCTTGTTCTCATTCATTTCCCCATCCCTTTGCATCCACCCATCGCATCCACCCTCTGCCTGCCCATGCACACCCCCCAAATAAAACAAAATTTTAAGAGAATAAAGGGAAAAAATAAAATAAATAAGGGAAAAACTTTAAAATCTCTTCACGGAAGCTGCAGTGTGACACAGCGAATCACGCCGTGAAGCCCATTGTCCATGTATCTTTACTTGGAAGTGTTCACTGCAAAGAGTCATTGGTCTGGTTCGAGGCCTCTGGTTTCTACTACATTGTTAATGCTGGGCTCTTGAAGGTCTTTCTTAATAAGGTGGCAGATGAATTCAGTAAGGAGACAGAACAAAGCCTGAGGGCATTGAGGACCTAGGCTGAGACATCATCTGTTTGAGGAATAGAAAGTAGGCTCATGCGGCTAAAGAATGCAGGCATGGTGATGCAGGGTAGAATGAGGCCACAGAGGGAGGCAGGGGACTGACCATGTAGACTTGGCATTTTGGCAGGATGTTCAATCGGCTTTAAGTTCAATGAGAGTCCCTCAGAGGCGCTATTAGTTTCCTGCTACTGATATAAAGAATACAACTTTATACTAGACAGGAATAAGAAAGGAAATACTTATTCTGCCTCACAGTTTCAGAGGGTTCTATCTACTACAGTCACTTGGTCCCATACACTTGAACAGAATATCATGGGCATGGGATATGTGGCACAGGACAACAGTCCACAAACTGCAGACCGGGAAGAAGAAAGCAGGACAGTACCCACCTAGGACCAAGTCTGACTTTGAAAGGCTCACCCCAGTGACCCATTTCTGTCACTCAGGCCCCACCTCATAGTTTTCATCCCCCCCCAAATCATGCCACCAGCTGGCCAATCATCATTTGAAATGTGAGCCTGTGGGGCCATCAGGGGCTCCAGCCACGGCAAATAGTGTGAAGGTTCTGTAGAGAAAAGGAAGCAACTGAGTGTCTGTGTAATTAAGAACAGACTTTGTCAGGCTGGTGTCCACAGTCTGATGCTGGCAGGGCCCCTGATGGCTATCTGCATCTCAGCAAAGGAAGGAACTGGCAGCTGTTCAGTTTAATAAACGAAGCCAGATGATAAATTTAATTCAATAGTTATATACATTTTGATTGGCTTTGAAAATTATAAATTTATAAACTCATATAAAGTTCCATTTGCTTTTGGGATACCATCTTACAAGGACTCCAATTTGCAGTAAGGCTTGTTAAGGAAGGGAATGGCTCAGTTGCCATTAGCCTACTGGCTATGGGTGGGATTGGACCTCTGCTGGTCTTTTCTGTGTCAAACACACAGATTGCAAGCCCAGTGCCACTTTGAGATCTTTGGCAGCAGTTAGCGCTGCAGCTCACTCACGACTGAACCTGTATGATAATGAGTATTCAGAGATGGGTAATACCTGGGGGGCACTCACCAACCTAAGACAGAGTGCCTGTGTGGCCTGGGCAGGTGTCTCCATGACAGGTAAGGTGACTTGCTGATGTCCCATGCAATCTAAGTTAGAAGCCCATTTTTTAGTAAAAGGGGGACGTGTAGGACCCTGGCCCCCATTTTGGGTAACTGTTGCCTTGCTTGCTGACCTTGACCTTGATATCCTCCCTTTGCTAATTCCCTGCCAGGTTCCACCCTCCTGAATCCTTAAGGGAAGTTCCTTGTCTGTGTATCTTGCATAATGGGCGTTAACAGCTTAGATGCAAGATTGTAAAACATCAGTAGTGAACTTCTGCCCTCCGGAGTTCTCCCATTGTGCTGTAAGCCTGTATTTAAGACCTCTTCCTTCCTTCAATAAACAGAATTTGACATTAAAATTAATTAATTAATTAATTAATTAACGAAGCCAGAAGCCTCAGGACAAAAGGATCAGGGAGGCAGTTCCAGTCTGAGGCCCAAATCCTGGAAGCTTCTTGGAGGGTTGGTAGTGTGTGAGTTCATGTTCAAAGGCTGAAGAAGCTGGAGTCTGATGGCCATGGCAATAACACTATTCAGGAAGACCTGAACTGTGCAAGCCTGAACTTCCTTGGTCCACTGTTTGTTGGGTCGGGTTTCCCCGTGAGGCAGCTCCACTAACATGAGGGCCGCTTGCTCTCAGCTGGCTGACCTTCATGCGACTGATCTCTGGAAACACAGATACACTCAGAAGTGTGCGTTGCTCCTAGGTGTCACTAAAATCAGTCAAAATTGACAATTGAGACTGACCACCCCAGGCAGTCACAAGCTGAACCCCAAGAATGGATAGCACATGATTGGCAGGGGTGAGGGAGGGGCAGGAGGATGGGTGAGGCCACTGCTGTAGGGTAGGAGGACCTCTGACTTCCTTAGAGAGAAGGAAGAACGGAGACAGAAGGTGACTGATTTGAAACGAGTGATCCGGCATGTCTCTGGATCTGCTAAAGGGAAGCCACCATGCCTGGAAAAGAGGAAAGGCTGAAACAGACGAAAGCTGTAGCATCAGGAAAGAAAAGCTAGTCTGGTGGGTTGGGTGGCTACACAAAGATACTGTATTAATCATCTTTCCATCACTATAACAAAATACCTGAGCGAATTAACCAACATGTGAAAAGGTTTGGGTGGTTGCTGGCTTTGAAAGCTCTAGGCTGGGGGTATATAACTCCACTGTTTTGGGTCCCTGAAGATGCTGATGGCAGAACTGAATCACAGAGCAAAACCACCCACAGCATGAGCCTGGAAACACCAGAAGAAATGAAGGGGCAGAGCCCCCCAGCCTCCTTCAAGTCATGTCACCAGCGGCCCGAGGAATTCCCACTAGGTTCCATCTCCTAAAGATCTTACCACCTCCTGAGATGCCATCCTGAGACCAACCTATCATAAAGCACCTGGACCTTTGGGGGGGGGTACTTATCTGATCCATAAACAGATATCAATCCATAATCCTGAAACTGGTGGAGCGGGGGGGGGGGGGGGGGGGGGCCGGGGAGAGTCTTGCAGAAGTAATTAAATTGAGGATATTGAGCTGAAGAGGCTGCTCTTGCTTGTCAGGATGGACCCCCTGCCCTGAAGTCCTCAAAAACACCCTCATATGGGAGAGACCAAGGGCAAGCAAGCACCCTGA